ACATAATTTATCTGATTTTTAGGATAATCGAAATTCCGACTAAAAAATTCGACAGTTTTCTTAAGTACAAATACTACATACTAAATAAGTGCTTTTTTTGTTATATAATGACATAATTTATATGTATATACTTAAATAAAATGTACAATGTTTTAATTTGAAATTACATTTCTTCGGGTATAATCTTTCGCATATTGTGTGACTGAAACAATATTAGCGTTAGGTCTCACCTCGTTTTCGTTTTCCCTTTGTAGTACTTTCATTCAATAATTAGGTTTACTTACTCATTGCATCTTAATAAATATAATCATCAGTATTAGAGTAATCTGTTAATCTTTAAAGCGCTGTTATTTCTTGGCGAGGCATACGGGAATAAATCTGTCGAAAGTCTTGGACTTGTCTCAGAATTACCAGTTTTTAACAAACAACGATTGTAAATTACAGTATATCACGATGCCATACCCACGTTTTCTTCGTATGATCGAACCTATGTGCCAGCCACTGTTGCTCCAACAACTGGTATCTATCTTGATTTAGGTACAAAGGTTTACCGCGTCTGGAACATGGTATTAACGGATACAGTGATAAGTACGTCGACGTTAGACCTTGGTCAACAGTGATTATTATAAATTATTCATACTTCAGATCTTTGTCTTCTTCTTCGAAGTCATCGAGATACAAGGATCCCCACAGACAAACTCGTTGACCTCGAATTACAACTATATAAGTTGACGTTACTACTAGATATATACCGGTTCCGCCTCCGCAATCGATCGAATGCTGAACACAACGAATCATCACGTTTTGTTACATCGTGAACGTTTATACATACGTTTATGTACATTAAAACAGATACTTACTTGAACAACTTCGCATACATTCCATTGTTTGCGGGTTTGTTTAAGGCAAACAATGGCACCACACAACAGACAGATGCTGATTTCCTGTGGTATCGAGTGACCTTGACGGCATTGCCGCCCGTGGTAATACTGAAAGAAATGATCGTTCATAAAATCTGAATAAAAATGTATAATGTAAGTAATTGCGTATATTCGTACCGTGAAAATCTTCTCGTATTCCCTTGGAAGACCGAGTAACTTCGGTACCTGCCAGGATATGTGCTGCTCCATAATTAAACATCTACCCGCGTCGTTTTGACTTACAAAACCAAGAAATTGATCGCACCACATTCGAGGTACAGCCACGCTGGTTTCGTTATCCTGCCAGTTCAAGGCTATCGCCGAATTGAATGTCTTCCAATCTGTAACTAATTCTAAATAACAAACTAATCTCGAGAATTCGGCCTGCGATAACCTAATTATAGGTAATGGCTCCTCGTACAAGTGGTAACGAAGTAACGCGGCTACTCGTAAAAACGGTAAACACATCGATTGTATCTGAAACAATACGTAATTAAATGTACAAGAAACTATCTTGAAAAATGAGATGGCCAAAGTGTAAACGTTCTACACGTACCTGTTGTTCGATACTGTGCATTTTGTCTCTCGCGTATGGTGTACACGATGATGTGGACGCATCGTATAAAACATGTCCTAAATGGTAAAGTGGACTGTCATTGAAATATTCAATAATTCTGCTAAGTATAGTCTCCGAGGTCACAGGTTCATGCTCAGAATCGCGTGAACATTCTCTTCTCAAAAATGAATTTCTTTCCGCTTCTGAGAAACCACAGCTTATTTGTACTATAACTTGATAGTACAATAAGTTAAAGATTACTTTTACTACGCTGTTGAAGTACGCTGAAATTCGTTGAAATTTCATGTATAACAATCTGTGAAATAATATGAACAAATTAAGTGTAGTGATCGTGTACTCACTGTGATCTAAATGTAGAGGAAGCAAAAGTATAAACTGTATAAGAAGAGCAGTTGGATCTTTGAGAAGAAGTGGGACTTCTCTCGCGTCTGCCGCTAAGGCAAGTGGTACAACAGGTTCAAGAGGTAACCCAGCCAATTGCTGCCATGTGTGCTGTGCCGGCCAGAACATGGACAACCGCGCGTTCCACGCCAATACATCAAGAAGTGCAACTTGAACAAAAAAATAATTATTCCAATATCTTCTATCTTCCATGATTATCTATAACTTTCGTCGATGCTAGAAGAAAGGAACTTACCAGTACAGTCACGTTTTGGCCTCAATGGTATGGTAGTAGGTGGCGGGATACATAACGATCCACCGCGTTGGACAAGTTCAATCTCGAAATTAGTTCGAGCGATGGAAGTTATATTAACAAAACGACAGTTTGGTTGTCTAATTTTAACGTATGCGCACCTTGTCATGTCTTGCACGGCTTGGCGCATCGCTTCGGACAGAAACGTTTTCCTCTGTAACAAAGGAAAGAAAATAGACCATAGACATAGGAAACATTTACAATTCGTTGAAGAAAAATTGAGATATTTATCGATGGACTTACCGGGAACTTCATTTTCAGAATCTCTTTCAATAGATTATTTATATCCGGAATTATAGTGGAAAGAGGTGCGTACGGAGATCGCACGATAGTCCCACGTTTTCCCAATTTCGGGGATAATGGAAGGAAACAATTAGCTAACTGCCGGCAAAGCGGACACAGATATTCACCGTTCTCTGCGGAAAGAGATAGGTCTCTCTGCTGATGACCGAGAGATTTTACATATGGCAGCAAACATTCCAAATGTAAATGGTGTCCACACGTTTGAACATACACTCCACTTTCCCACCCTATATTAACGGACAGCAGCAACGGAATCTATTAAAACCAAATAAAAATATGTATAAACCATTTTCGAAGATCAATAATATCAAGCTATGGAATTGAGATATTCACTCTTTCAAAATGACGATTCATTGCATTTATTCTACGATCGAAATGGGCACCACGTGTATCACTCTTTGGTATAGGTGGATCATCGTCAGAAGTAGGTAGAACCACTCTGTCTGGTTGCTGCCGTTCATGGCCAATAACACTTGTCTCCTGAAAAACAAATTTTTTTTATCCAAACAATTTAGGAAATGTCTTGATCAAAAACCTAATTTTAATATATTACCTGAAATAATACAACAAGACCTATAGGATTGTTCTCTGTACTAGGACTACTTTGACTGCAGATGACACAGTCGTATTCCTTTTTGCTAGTCAATTTGGTAGCATCATCTTTTTCCTCCCAAGCCATACCAGATACTCCTGCTTCGTCTAAACAAAGTTTTCTTCTATTATTTAAGGAAATCTCATCTTAAAAAATACATATTTATTACGTTTACTATACCTGTTTCCATTGCTTTTTCCATGAACTGTTTTCTTTTGTTGGCAAACTCGGCCATTAGCTTTTGCTGCCTTTCCTTTGCCCGCCTTCGTCTCTCCTCTCTCTCCCGATCTTCTTTCTCTCGTTGCTTATCTTCACTCTTTTGCATGCTTGGCCATAATTTGTTCCTAGCGTCCTTTATAGCTTCCTTACATGTCGGATCCAAATTCGCTATCTTATTGAGTAGTTGCGCGACGAAGAATGGACCATCGCCGATCCGTGATTCCGATGGTTCTGTAGTCGAGCTACTACTAGCTTCGGTATCCGACATTCCATCCTGTTCGGGATTATAACTGTCCGGAACGCCCGACAACTTTGAGTGCAATTTCAATAATAACGTGATTATACTCTCGTCTACTTTTACGGCTTGCGATCCGTTCTGGATAAATAAGAATTCATCCATCGTCAACTATTTGATAATATCATGGAAATGTAGGGAACATAGGAGAAATTGTTACCTGAGTTTCTCTCCGCTTAAAGTTCTTATGAGAACTCGACGTGGATGGAACGATCTCTGTCGATGTTACTCTAGAATTACTTAGTCTCGAATACACACTTGGGGCAACAACTATTTCGTTGCCAGCCATTACGGCAGGACGCTGAGGGGCAGGCGGTAATGCTGGTTGAGTACCAATATCTATACATAGATAATATGGATTAAAAAGAAGCGAATGACATTTCATCAATTTATGTATATTATTTTAACGAAACAATAATAAGCAAAATATATTTAAAAATCTTTTAAACTACTATTACTGTTAATTAAAGGAACTCAATATTTTCTTCTCAGAAAATAAATTGCTTTGAATTGATATATTCTCAAACTAATATTAACACTATGGAAGGTAGCACAGTATATATTATTATGATATTATAATTTGCATAACAGTAAGAAGGATATAACTATGGTTAAGGTGAAAAGTTTGAACAACATACTGTTTGGTAAAGGAGGTGATTCAAGGGCAAGGGCCATGGATTCTTCAGTGGATGATGGCAAAGCTCTTTGTAGTGTTATTGAATCGTCTTCATTATTAGCTTCTGATAAGTAAGTAACTTGAAAAGTTATTTCAAATTGGTCTACAAAATAGTAAAGAAAATAAAGCAAAATATCATTATAGTATCACGTAATAATAGTATTCTATTACTGAAACAACGATCTTACAATTAAATCTACTGAAAATCTTATGCATACGTAACTACCGTGTGTAATTAACATTTTAGTTTATGTTAAAACAAATGGAAACATACTAGGTCTGATATGAAGAACTTATAAAGGTACGAACGTTAATGAAATTTACTAGTGTGAATATTTCTATAAAAATTCTTAATGATATGCTTTATACAATGAGCACCTGAACGATAAAAAAGAGAATAGCTTACCGTTTGGTTGAGGTAAAGCAGGTAAAGAAGCATTCATAGCAATTTGTAAACCAGTATCATTACTAATTGTCTCTAAGGATGGAAGAGCTAAAACTTCTAAAGAATTCTCTGTCGCATCATTTATCATGAGCGAAGTTCCAACTTCAGTCAATTCACCCTGAATTTCCCATTCAAATTCACCTAGTATAATTTTAATTAAAGCAATGAACATCGTGACATACGTCGAGGAATAATGCAATTGTAATAATAATTTTACTTACTATCCGAACCACTCGATTCTGGCTCTTGAGCAAACAACACTTCGGGTATTACCATCCTAAGATTATCTGACAAATTATCTGTAATATACCAACCAGCTAGATCCATGTCTTTTATTACACGAGCTGGTCGTTCACTAGTATACTGACATAAAGGATTCATCTGAAAACGAATATAAAAATTAACTGTCTTCATACAAAAGTAATACCTGTTAAAATTTTATTACAATTAAATACTTACAGATTTATCAGGTAGTTCTGCAGTAACTACAGCCATTTCTAACAAATAAATAGTTAATGCCATTATGTGTTCTGATATGTTATGTCCATAGACAGCTTTATATAAAATTATTAAAATCATGGCGTGAAAAACTCTAGATCTTAACACGTTTCGTGGATCATCATACGCGGATGCAACGGGTGCAGGATGTCTAAACGGTGGCCAGGGAATTGCACTAGATTTCAATCTTCCCGACTGTTTTACACTGAAACATAAATTGACACTTATACAACGAATCCAATACAAGACATTTCCTTATACCCACTATTGTGTAAAACGATCCATCGCCATCTGGAACTCTCCCTTTTGCGCTGCTCTTAGCAGAACGTGTAAAGGATCAAACAATTCTTCCCAAACTAAACGCGGTTTCGGACCATACATTCCTTGCTGCATATTTCCACTGGCTTCAAGATTGGGTGCCCTGTACACTGCTACCTGTAAGTCAAATATTGAAATTGTAGTACAAGATAAATAACGCACTGCTAATATAACGTACGAAACGTACGTCAGCTAATACAGATTCAAAATCTCTATTTTGCGTGCTACCACAACGTTCCGGCATTAATTCCATTAATTGGCTATGAGTTTTGTCTCCCATAGATAGTAAGGTGACCATTTCTAAGCGGGACATTTCAGGATCAGATAAACCTGAAAGAAATAGTATATTTGTTACGTATGTAATTTCGTAATTTCATGGAAATATATGAGAAACTTACCTAAGTTTGTCCGAACGTTAACTAATATAGCTAAGAATGTTAGAAAGCTTTCTAACATTAGTGTATCATGTTCCCCATCCATGTATTCATTTGGAGATGCTCTGTATAAACGAAGACTCATCTCTTGTTTTATCTGGAACCTGATTAAATGGAACAGATAATGATCAGTAACAATTTTAATATACAACCAAAATGAATTCAATGGATGTTGAATGAGAATTGGAAATTACTTTTCAATGATTGTTTTTAGGAAAACATCTGGTTGCAACTTCGTAGCACATAGTTGTAATAAATATAGATCTGCATCCACCATCGAATTACAAAAGTTACACTGTATATATGTCATTATTTGACCCTTTATCTGAAGGCCATTGCGTATCCACAATCCATTTAAGATTTCGTAAAAGGCGACCTAAACAGAAATGAATTATCTTACTATAACTGTGGTATAAGGAGCTATTTATGTAATGATTTAACCAATGAATTAATTGTTCCCCAAGGTATTATGTACTATTTTATTTTGTATGATGAAATATTTACTTCTTCTCATAACGCATGCATAACGCGTAGAAGACCTAACGGTATCTACATGGTAATTTTTATTCTAACGTCAACATTCGTCAAAATTACTCGAAATGTAAGTAATGTCAAATATATCCAAGTATAAAATTTTAATTCCTTAAACATTTGCTGTTTTAATAGCAGCTCTTTTATATTTAGGGATACGTAGAATGTTCAAATCTAAATTTTTACAGTTTAATAATTAATAATGATACGATATTCACATAATAATATGATATTGATTAAAAAACATTCGGATATCGGAATGCTTTTAAATGTGAAAGTATTATTTCCTATATAATGATCAATTCGGTAGAAGAGGGGTACATTTCCACTTGGTCGACCAATCCCGTGGCTGGATAGCATCACCAACGCTGTGTTGTCAGTTCGCAACGATCCTGAATCCCACATTCAATGAACAACAGGGAGACATTTCTGTAGTTTCGGAAGAACTGATGCTCATTCCGAGGTGTGATTAATTCTTCAAATATTCGTACAAATATTTGATTACCGTGAACTATAATCCTCGTACTTAGCTTCGAAACTCATGATACGATGGAGGTCGATCGATGAGAGAAGAAAGAAGAATAAAATTGGATCAGTGCTGTGATATTTGTGCCTATTTATCATACATTTAAATTTCCTTTCACTGCACGAATGAAAAATGGCCATAATTAGCTCGGGAATTGTCTTTATTTGTTTGTTATCAAGTTTCGGTCAGTTTACAAACGGTATTGAAATCGGTTTAATTGATATATCAGAATTAGTTAAATTCGGCCATGAGGTGATACTGAACGCTTTTCAAGCATGGGAATTGGTTCGTCCAAACGATTCCGAATATGACAGCTGGCCATTCATACGTCGAATGGAAAAAGAACTGAAGAATCGTATATCAAGAGTATCACAAAGGATCGATACGTTTCAACAACAAATTGATATAAAACTCGATACTATCATGGCGAAACTTTTAACCGAACTACCGTTACATGAAAAGCTCGATCAGAAATTACGCGCAGTCGATGAATTTGTCGCACAAATTAATGATTTGTACACCGTGTTCGTGTTATATTCGAAGGCGCCTCAAAGATATGAGAAATATACATTGGAAGACTTCGCGAGAACGTGTGTCTCCTCTAGAACGGGTGCTCTCCCTGACATTTTGAAAACCATGCACCGATTATTTGTCCCTCCATCTGATGAAGCTTTTAGCAAGAGTATTCTAATATTATTGGCGAATGAAATGCAAGTAAGTTATATACATTATTTTATATTGCTATAAGAAGAATTAGTTTCGGTAATGAAACTTTCTAAAGGATAAAGCAATTGGAAATTCTCTTCACATATTTTCTGCTAAACATTGAATTTGCAATGTCTAATCGTTCCTACATGCAAATTATTCTGGTAACACACAGATGAAGTACAATCTCTGGCTATGCCACAGATATTACACGAGGGAGAATATCAGCAATCAACTGACATCCGACAATTACACTTATCCCAGTCGCACACTAGATAAGAATGTAGGTGCAGTTTAGTCACGAGTTCTTTATGAAAAGATGAAGCTTGTACATTCAGATAGTAATTATGCATAATATTTCAAATGACAACCATTTGTTTCGAAAGAATCCTTTAAAAATACAGGAAGCTTACCAAGACGAGAATTCATAAAATACTTCAATATTTCGTTATCTATGTGTCAAATTCTTATATAAGTTATATCTAACATCTTTTATCCTTTATATAAAGTACACCTATCAAGGAATCAAATCTTACTTAGAACAGCCATGCGAACAAATTTAAAAAACTCGTAAGTTGTGATAATTTAAAAAATTTTATTATGAAGACTGAAAGTGGACACACGGCATCTATACACAGAATGAAAATATTTCTGTTTCACTTCATGAATTCAGGAATCTTAATTTAATTAACAAGATACAAAAGAAGTATGCACATTTCTCTGTGGTGCGACAATGCACTTTGTGTAAACAGCTTAACCACAAAGAGAGCAAGAGAATAAAGAGAGGCATGCGCAGTGCTGTCAAATACCATTTAAGCTCGTACGATCTCAGCTTGTAGAGGGGAGGAATTGAGGAGCGAGAGAATGAAATGACGGGAGTAACGTGAAATTCTCAGTGTCAGTGGAGCCCAAGCTGGCGAAGGTTTTATCGTATACCACGCATCTCACATAAACATAATTAATCTTCTACGAAATAATAATCAAGTGAATGGCAATGCAATATAGTGCATCGTGAACGTCTTAAAAGAGCTTTCGGACGGGACATTCAGTCAGGGTATATTGAAAAAATTTCGGATGCGAACAGATTTCGTCTCTCAGGTTTCAATTTTCGCATATTATTTGTGAAACGCTTCGGTTAATAAACGTGCCAACTTTTCACGACCTGTATAACTGTGAAATACTTTCCATTCGTTACCAGTCGCTGCCGTTGCAGAAATAAGGACTGGAATTTGTCTTTGAATTCTCGTTATGCATATTGTGCGAGCCAGGTGAAACAAAGAATTTAGAGGACACGTTCTAAGATATTGCGAGGTAACAGTAAGTGCTCTCTTCAAGTTTCTCACATCGTTGTTTTCTTACGTACATCGTATTCCAGTTGTATACAAACAGAAATATATGTTCCTAACACTTAAAAGATTTTAGTAGTTACGTTCGTTCGAGATTAAATTTTGTACGTAGAACGCATAACTAAAAATGTAAGTGCGAATATTTAGTAGTAATCCGATCTTTTTTTAAATAGATTATAATATAGTTCATTTGCGTATGATAAGAGGGTCATAAGTACGATGAAACCCTAGGAAATACTGCTCCTAAGACTTGTAAAAGAATTGCTCGGTGTTAGTCATAAATATATACATGTATACAATTGAAATTGTTACATAATTAATTTATGTTTCTAGAACGCTACAGCAGAATTACTTGATGTATGATGATTCAAAGCTTACATTAATTGTTGTATACCAACGATATCTAATATTTAAGTTAGTATATCTATACCAAAATTCATCAGCCTATGACTTCTCTTTTTCTCTTCCTTTGACTTACTCCTTGACTCATATTTGCAAACTTCGTCCTATCTTCGCTGCATCATTTCTGAACCCTGACCTTGCTACATTATTCTCAGATAGCTCTTAACGAAAACATTTTTTAAAATTGTATATCTTTTTGAAAAACAACATGAGAAACTTGTAACGGGATAGAAAGGAAGATCATCTAAAATATCGATAGTCGTTGAAAACTCTCAAATTGCCGGAAGTACTAATAATTACATGTGAAACGTGACTCACGTTTGAACGAATTAAACGTGACCCGTTGAAGGAAAAAAGGGGTATCATCAATCGAGAACGAATCTCCGTAATGTTGAACGTAACATTTGCAAATTACATGCAGCGTTCGCAATTTTTCTACGAAGTACACAGTACAGGCCGCGATATCACTTCAATTTAACTACTGACGTATCGAGTTTTTAATGCAATCAGCACATCCGACCCTTACCATCAACTATGATTTGCGTGTTAGTAAGCTATCCATGCATTTGCTTACACAAGCAAGCAAACACTATGATATGTTACTACAAATATGTTCACATTTTTGTCTTCAGATATTTCAAAGTTGCTATATTAGCTAATTTAGCGTTCTTTTTTTAGGATACTGCAAATTGTATATTATGCGTTCCACGAATAAAATCTAATCAGAACGAATACTTAATAATTTAACTAAAATCAATTCATACTAAAAAGAAATTAGACAAAGTAAAGATTACGTTGCTGAACGGTTGCATTCATCTACAATACGGAAGTCGATAACAGTTACCCGATCGCATAATCAATAATTAAGAACGTACACAAAATTGATGCGACTAAAATATTTCACTTATCGTACAATCGTAAATTGAAACCAGAGACAAAGAGGGGAAGAAGAACAAATAAATAGTGCGAACTTCAATCCTACGTATCTCCATACAGGTTCTACACATCGTAATGGATTATATATAGGAGTTTTGTGCATCCATCTATACAAACTAATTACTTGTAAAGAACAAAGGACGATCAAAGTAATACCAAGTACGAAAAGATGAGAAGAGTTTACACCGTTGCATGCCTGTTGTTCCTTTGCATGATATGGGGTGCAACAGGAATAAACTACGACACTACTGTAATCGATCAAATACGAAACGAACTACTGAGATTAGAGAAATCATTGGAAAGAGACTTGTTTGATCCGAGGCTGAACGTGTTCGAAGGTCGCGAGCAGGAGAAATATATGTGGCTGATAAAAAGCTTCAAAAATTTCGGTGACGAGTTAGAGAGCAATTACTCGAGTAACGGGTACGAGAATTTGAATGCATTGAGCTCCATTTGGCTGTGGGCTCGAACCGAGAGCGAGCTAAAAGCAGTCGATGGCTTGTATCGTGTGTTTCGGTTAATGCAAAGGGAAATCATCACTGGAAACGCTCCTCTTGAATTATCAAAACTGAATGATTTCTTAAATATCATTCTGCATGATCCAAACGCGTCGATCGTGCGAACATTGGAGCGCATCAGCAATTTAATAGTGCAGGAAAAATTGTTCGTGTCGGCTTATCAGGTAGATTAAGAAACAATCGATCGTAGGAAATTTGCGATTTGATCAAATTGACAAACCTTTCTCTTTAATGATCAACTGTTTAAACGCAGGAAATTAAATAGCCCTGTCGCGTAGAATAGTGTTTAGCAAAGCTTGACTCTGTTTCTTTACCGTTTTTCCAGGAAGCTTCCTCGCAGATTTGCAATGAGAAGCAGTCGCTTCAACAATTGCTGTATAATTTATATACAACAGTAACTTTGACAGAGATCAAAGGTTACAGCATGATCCAATTTTCTTATAAAATGCTACGACTGTATAATCCAGGTACAAACATATTCAGACTTCTATAGATTGAGAGAAATTTTGAGTAATATATCCTAATTCTGATGAACAGGTAGTAATTTCACCGAGGAAATGAATATAGTGAAGCAGCAGTACGAGAAAAGAACGATGGAAACTTTGCGAGCTGTAAAAACGGCCATGGCCTTTGCTCCACGACAACTTTGGAGATGCGACGCGAGAAAACATAAATTAGGTTCGTTTCGAAGATGTTGCAAGATTTCGCGCAACCTTACAATTGAACTTGTTGTTTCAGATGAAACTTATACGACGTTACGACAATTGTTCCAAGGATATATCGTAAATGAGGTGGATTTAAATGCAGATGCAACGTGCAGAGAAAATTGTGCCTATTACGAGTACACGAAAGTTTATGGCTGTTATAAAGATCAATTTTGCTCTCAGCAACGCAAATGCAATGGTAGAGTGTTAAAGTGCGAATACGTCGATTCCGATATGTGGATTTGCCCTTCGGTAACGTAAATGTTTTAGTTATTATTACTTTAAAACGATGTAACGAGTACATAATAAATTCATAAAATGAATCTCAGGCAAAGAACAGCGATCGGAGGTACGAGTACATAGAATATGAAAGTGGTCGGTTAATGGGGCAAAAGGGTACTTGCAGTAAGCCTATAACAAAAGTCGATAGCTGGTGGCGTTGGTTGTTCTGGCACTGCAGTTACTGTTTCTGTTACTGCGATGATAGTAACATTAATTCTGACAGATACTTCAGCTTGCGAAAAGTTGTATCTGACGTAGCGAACAACAAGTAAACAATTCATTTCATTAAAAAATGATTTCACAATCCGCTATTATTAATTTGATGAATAACGAGTCAATTTGTTGCAGAGTCATAACAGGTATCCGGTTTAAGAAAGTGAATAAAATAATACATATTCAAATACAGGAAGGTGAACTGATGCCACATGGAACTATCAATAGGGCCACTGTTGAATGGAAACCGATCGAAGAATTTCATATATTAGATAATAATGTAACTAATGGAGTAGACTATCACACTCTGTCATGGGAGAAACGAGGCTTGGATCTAGATGATTTAAGTCTCGATCAAAATTATCTATTGACAGGTACATAATACAATACCTACTTCTTTATCTAAATCTCATACTTACGACGTACATTTTTCAGGTGTCAAATTTCGAGTGATTGGTGCGCGATTAAATTTAGAAGCAAGAATGACGCATTTCAATTTCACAACTGGAAAACTGACACGACCATTGGAGAGAAGTTTCTGGATCAGTCACGATAAAACCGAAAGGTAAAACCCTTCAATATGATGTGATATCTTTCGGAATACTTATAAATATAACAATTTTTTGTTCACAGATCGGAATTGAAGTTAGACAATCCTGATATACCAACTCGAGCACCGCTTATGACATTACCGGATTCGAAGTCGGAACATCAATACCTAAATTTTGCGCCCAGCGATCGAAAAACTGATGCAGCACAAAATACAATACCATTCCTCGACATTCAACCGGTAGAATCAAACCCACCGATTCCGATCGCAGGTGCTGGCGTTTTTCATAAAGGCCGATCAGGATCGGGAGGATTCGTTGCATTAAGATTGATTACATACGATTTTAGCCCCCACCTGAAGGTTGATTTAAATACCAATGCAGAATCTTCCATTGTTGATAATTTACATGATATGATAACAGTATGAATGTAAATTGTTCATCACTAATTTTATTAGTGTATAGTTCAGTTAATCAAATATTCTTTTTGTATTTCGAATCTATTTTCATGCACATTTCAGTAATTTAGAATGTAAGTTTAATTATAATTCGAATAATTGAGTGATTAATAATGTCACGTAACTTTCTCTAAAACCAAATTTCTGTCACATGATTATTATCCGTGCCATCTTAGCATTTATGTAAACGTGTTTTAAATTACGATACAAAGAATAATATTCCCTTTTACACCTTTGTACACTATCTTCAATTTCAATTCTTATTAAACTTCCGGTATTAATCTTTAACTAGAGAAAATCTGTACGTTGCCGCGTTATTATGCTGTTAGTTCCAAACAAGCTAATATTGTTTATAACTCGAATATTCTTTTATATTGCCATCTTGATATTTTAAAACCCTGTGATCTATTATTACTCAAGTTTAAAATAAAGATAAAAAAGATACATGAATGTACATGAAAAATAAAGCGAATATTTACACCGAGAATGTAAATTCACAAAGATGTTATCTTTTTATAGTATATACACCCTCAAATAATCATATGAATGAAACTAAGAACCGTAGCATAACGGTACACGAATAATTGAATAAGTAAAAAGACTTACCTGAACTCGCAGAGGATGCATCATCAACAGGTGTAACATGTCCGTAGGAGGCAATAAATCATTGAGTGTAGCTCCTTGTTGGCGTATAGCTTGACACAAAAACACAGCGAAGTATCGATGTAACGGAAGATGGAACGACACTTGGAAACTGTCACTCTGTAACAAAAATAACATTATAGCGTTATTGTTATATATGTATACGTATAATTTATAATACAGGCATTGCATGCTCACCACATTTGGATCAGTAAAATTTATAGCGTCCAACCAATCCTGGAGTGCGGTAAGACAAACCGATAGGACTTTCCGAGTAAGGTGCACACTCTCGGGGCCATGTAAATGAGAAACCAGGGCCCACATTGGGTACGCACTGGCTTCTAATTCAGCACTGAACGCTGCATAATATGTGTTAGACTCGTATTGAACGTGTTGATTCAATTCCCGCTGATTCACATTCATTCCTGAAACAAGCACGATGATCCATTTTGAAAATGTTTTCGTAGACAGTAAACCTGATTGATTATATTTTTTGTAGAAGTTAAAAAGTACCTTGAAACATAGATAAGAAATCGAACCACATTTCTAAAAGTGTATTGTCGTTCATGAATCGAACAGCTATAGGTTTATGTGAAAGCACGTTATTTAGATCCGACACGATAGGCCAATAACAATGTTCTTTCATCACTTGTCGTTCACAGTCCACTACATAATGAAAATTTTTATCAGGATCTAAAATAGCAAAGATAATATTATTATTTCAAATATTTTTAACGAGTTCGAACTGATTCGAATAAATACTAGTATAAATACAAAATACCGTGTAAAGTGTTCTGAATCAAAATCTTGCTCATCATGTATTTTAAAGCTATCACCATCACGTGCAATAGCTTCAATTCGTCCACCATCTTCAGTGCCAGACTTTGATTACTGAATAGCTGAAATATAACAGTTAATGCTGTAAAATAATCCTTCTTATAAATAGAATATCGCTAATTACTGGGCACTTACCTGCACACTAACATGGACCACTTTGTTGCTCAAGGTGTCAGGGTCTGTTGAACCTTCAAGCATCCTCGAAACTCTACTATAATGTAATACAAATGCACGAGTAAGTGCTTCTTTGTAATCTGGATCTGGTAACATGTTTAGCAGCAGACAGACCAACTTTTGTGGAAACTGATAAACCACTGTCCAAAACATTAATTCTTCCAGGAAAGTAGTATGCTGCAAGTGTTCTTGTAATGATGCACATTCTGGAATTTCAATTAAATACATGTATATATCATATGTTTATTAAATGTATGTTTCATTATAACTCTGCAACTGGAAAGAAGTTTACCCTTATACTCATCAGGTGGTTCCGGATTTCGTAAACGCCATACTGCATTTTGATATATTTCATTGCTATCATGGCAATAGGTGTGATATCCTGGCTGTTCAGTCGGTTTGGAAGGATCCATAAGATTTTTGTACTTTTGCGGACTTGTGAGAGCTGATGTCATAACGTGCCTCATTAGTGCGCCCATTTTGTTGAAGTCAATAAGCATTGTTAAATATTCATCCGCATCTTGGATTATAGTTCCATAATTCCGTGGACCCACAGTACTGTAACAAACAAAATACATGTTATACCTATCTATTACTGTTTCAGCAATTAACGAATATCTACTAGCAGTAAAACATACCAATTTTCACGTAAATATTGTATGAGGCGAAGAATTATTCGAGGCATCATTGCTTCTGCCACACACATTAAATCCGAAGGAGCAGCTGATTTATCAACAGCTGCTTTCGGACCATGTCTATCACAAAATCTGTGGAAACATAAAGAATACAATCTTAAATAAGCGGTTTAAATCATTTTTATCCTCATCAGTTGACGAAATACTTACCCTGATTCTTTCATAACAGATGCATCACCACAATCACATGCACCTCCGGCTTGACTCAGAAACATGTTAAAATCATGACCATAGTGATTGCCCTTTTTAAAACATTCCGTACATAAAGACATACATGGTGATATACCGCATGTACGACAGCGATATGCTACAAAATTCGGTGTCCAAACCAGTCCACAAGTTGTTGCACTATCATACATTGTCACTGAAATATGTACAAGTATTTAGTTTAAGTAGAAATTTTTCTTAACACGCTACATGTACTTTAATATACAATGAAAAGTACAATGAAAGGAATATATTATATACTAGTATGTTATTGTTTACCTTCCAAAAAGTTTAATACAAATAAATAAACGTTGTTCTTATTGTTCCAAGATTTCTTTGTCTTCATTTTGAAGTTATATACTGAATTCTACTAGTTTACTCTCTTCTATGTTAAGACGTTATGTATAATACGTGTACGTACTGTACGTATACTATCATAAATGAACATATGTTTATTGGAAATCTTACTGATGCCAAAAACGCAAATTACATTATACTTATATCAAAGATTTTAAAATAATGTTCACAGCAGAATAAATCATGTGACATCGTCAAATGATAATCAACAAGTGTCTCGTAATATCTGTAAATCTCTCAAATTCTCCTTGTCTCAATATTTATTCCTTTTATACTACTTTCCTAATAATTCAGATATGCAAATTCAACATCATTTTCAACAATACGTAGTGTTACACTACGTTTGACATAGTAACAAATTCTTGGAATATGTTCGAAGGACAATATACAATATAGTCATATACTTAATAAAATCATAATATTACACATTTTGCAACGAATGCAGGAATATTAAACATATTGTTGAGAGGTACAACAGGATTTGTGTAGGCTGTGATCGTTACAATGTAGCGAAGCACTAGCAACAATTAGGTCATATATATAATGAATTATATTGAACTGAAGTAATAGTAAAACATTTTAAGCATGTAATTGAATGAAAGAGGATGTGTAAAATACCTGTTTTGGCAAAATCCTCTGGTGAATCACCACCAGCTATCAGCCATTTACACCAATTGATGGTTTCTCTATCATCAATAGTTTTTGAGTTAGGATTCAATATTTCATCCAACATATTAGCAAGGGATGGTGGACAGCCACCCTCGTGGGCTGAATTGCTACATTCTGCATGAACATCAGCAGCCACATTACGTATGCGGTTGTTTATTAACACTTGAGTACAAAGACTGGATACCGAAAACATCGTGAAAACGTTGACCTCGCACAGCGGATACCAGTGACTTCGATTTTGACTGATGTTACGGTATATGCCTAGCAAACCCGCAAGATACGATTTTTGACATCGTCGCTGGTACAACACACATCCAAATTTATACCGAACAGCAAAAGCACTCGATCACCAATCGTTCGATCAATTGACCACAGCTTATATTCTTCTACGGTACGTCTTCCTCCGTGTAATCAAGAATTTGTCTATCTTATCGACGGATTATTCAGCGACCGATTTCGTCTTTCAATCAACGGATTTCATCAGAACCACGGATGAGCCAAAACGATCTTTCTTGTGACGAGATATCTATTGCACAGTTTTGCACAGTTTGTTCCCTTTCGTGAGGTAGAAACACAACGTGTAAAATAATTTATGGAAAATTAAATAAGGGGACATTATATTTTATTTAAGTCATTTTACTCGTGATCCAATCACATAACGTTCTTTGGACAAATTTATCTAACGAGCGAATAAGCGAATACAATTCGTGTTGCATTTATTACGGTACTTCACAAAAAAATGGTGTGATTTTGAATTTTTCTTATTTACGATGATTATTAGATTTTATATAAATCTTATTATTAATTAATTCTCATGAAATGAGAATTATTATCTAACTATTGTTGAACTATCGTTTAAAATGTGCAGAACGTTAACCAATCAACATTGTAAGCAAATATTCATGGTTAGTATGGTGGTAGTCCTGATTTACAATTGTCGACAACTTCTCTTCTCTCTTCCAAACCTCTTTTTCGTCCATTTTCGTTCGGCTAATCGAGCGTCTACGTTGCTGTGATAAACAAAATTGTAAATCGCAGGTAATCTCGTTTTCTAAGAAACATCCAATGGAATTTTATTATAAATTAAATTTCAGTTTTACTAAGCAATCTATGTAAAATGATATTTTATGTGTAATGTAGGAAGAATGAGAAAGTGAAGTAGCATCAGTATTTACAATTTTATTTACAGTTGTTACACAGTAGTTAGTTTGTTTATTAGATTTAAAGTGCATGTTTGAAAATTGTTTATTGCTTATAATTTATGATTGATAACTTTATCAGTTGTAGAAGTAGAATTGCATTATTTGAACTTATAGGTTAAGATTTAGTGACATTACAACAAGGTAAATTGATGATCAAGATGCTGTGCAATCATACAGTAATTAATTCTTCCTTGTTTCAGACATGGTTCGTATGAACGTGCTCAGTGATGCCTTAAAATCTATTAACAATGCTGAAAAACGTGGAAAAAGACAGGTCCTGTTGAGGCCTTGCTCCAAAGTCATCATCAAATTTCTGACGGTCATGATGAGAAAAGGTAAAAAAAACATATTTATTCACTTACATATGCAATATAAACCAGATTTTTAAAAGAAATTCCTAACATAAAGTTTCGTGGTATAATCAAATTTTTTATATTCTTCAACTTCGTCGATTTATAGGCTACATCGGCGAATTTGAAATAGTTGACGATCATCGCAGCGGCAAGGTCGTCGTGAACCTTAGCGGGAGGTTGAACAAATGTGGGGTAATTTCACCCAGATTCGATGTCCCAATCAATGACATCGAAAAATGGACAAACAACCTGTTACCATCAAGACAGTTCGGGTATGTGCTTTTAATACGCATGATCTATAATTAATGATATGCTATTGTTATTACATATAATTGTGATCTATATTACAGATATGTAGTTTTAACTACAAGTGGTGGTATTATGGATCATGAAGAGGCAAGAAGGAAACATCTTGGAGGAAAAATACTTGGCTTTTTCTTTTAATGTTATTTAATTCAATAAAAATTTCTTAATAGAAACATATATTTTCTTATATATATTAAAAAGTGATGGAATTATGTCTGTATGAACAGAATGACATAGACATATGTTTTTGTCTATGATAATTTTTATACCGTCACCCATGTTTCATTATATATTTTATTTTTGTACATGTTCTTAGAGGAAAATTATATAAATTTTCTGCATAATCTATTTCATCAGACATACTTCCATTCGTTCAAAGATGTATACTCCTTCCATACTGACTCCCAAGCTTCTGTTGTTTGATTACGATATGATACGAAAAATATAGTATTATTCATTACAATATTATTAATAAAAGGTAAATAAGTCGATGAAACTAGTCCCAACTATTTTCCTGCTTTCGGTAATTCCGCACTCTGTTTAAGGGCAAAAGCTCTGTATATTTTATGATGTTATTGTTCAATCATCTAATGATTGTAAATTAATGGAACATTTAGAAGTTTCTAATAAAAAAGTACTTGCTCTTTTAAAAATAAAAAGATTTATACAAAGGCCCTGGTTGGTTAATGCATCCTCGTGCTGATTGGTCGAATACCACTAAGATAGTTGAAGCATGCGCATGATAGCGATTTCAACTTTACGCTTCTTGTGAACGCAGCCGCAGCCGATCACGGACAGTCAACAAAACTTTGTAATTCGAACGAAACTCAGGGACGGTCCGGTTCATGTTCGGTTGATGCGTCGCGTCGTGCAGGTTTTTATTTTCCACTAAAGTCTTCTGAATAGAAAATTATCGATTGTGTTACTCCCTTGAATAAAAAGAGAAGGAACAAGTGTAAAGTAATATCTAACAGATCCAACGGTGTTGCCAGGTGTTACCAGGTGAATGTGACCGTTTTCGTGCTGCGTTACCTCAAACTTACCTGAAGGGATAATCAGATAGAAGAACGTATTAAAGGTATAGTCTTTAAGTACAGTGCAATTGTACGAAAAGAAGTGGCTTTCGAATAAACGGTTTTCATATTGACGTTTAAATTTTGATGCATCGTTTAAACATGCATAATTATTTGTCTGGCAATCAATGTACATAATAATTGTCACAGAAAATCATATTATACTTCCTATCATTTAGAGGAAATTCTGGTTTAATTTCATCCGTAGGTTTGCATAATTTCGTTTTTTCATAATTGAGAAAATCTACGTACGTTTCGTAAAACTTCAACGCACCTCACGCGCATACATACAGTTCGAAAGGAAATGTGGAATACGACGATGAATCGTAGGAAAGCAATCAACGACACGTAACGCTGAATCTAGCGAGAAAATCTGTGGGACTTGAATGACCAATTTGCGAGGAGAAAAGGTGGAAGAACGACGAAATACACTGTGAATCGGATGGAAACGGTGCGGATGCTTCGAAACCGTCGGTTTCAAGAAAGGTGGAGGGATTGCGAGTGCAAGTAAAAGGAATGTTGTCTCACAGGTGTACGTCGTAATGCTCTTCCGTTACGTCTACCGATAGAGAACGTAATTGGAGGCTGAATTCGCCACGTGAGCTCGACAATGCGGAGATCGTACAGGAATTGTTTGTACACGTTCGCGTAAGTTGACCGTGGAATTGTACGTCGGTTCCCGTGGTGAAGTGCGAGGGGAGTGGAAGCGGGCAACAGCGGCCAAGAATTTTACCGAGGAACATGGAGATGCCGTGGAGGAATGCAATCGCGAACCTTTCAACCTTTCTGACCGCGAGGACCAGGATTTTCGTTGCCGCTGTCTGTTTCATCTGGATCGTTGCAAGCGCCTGCGCCAGTGGTGAGTTTTCCCGCTCATTTTCACTTTATTTATGTATTTTCCGATCTCCGACTGCTAGTATCAACGATTGCTCCTTTCAGTTGACAGTAGTGATACTGTCGTGTAATATTTAATATACATCATCGGATTTGTGCTCGCGACGTTCCATGCTTTTCGTTTAAACTCCGGCTTGATATACATAGATATACATAGATACATGGGCTGATTATCGAGATTAATATTTGGCACGGAACTTTCGATGAATAATTTGCGAGCTTAGATCACGCTCTGGTAATTGCTGTCGTTATATTACGCGTGCAAACGGTATTCGCTTTGTCATGAAACTGGCACGAGAACAGGATACGCGCGCTCGCCGTTGCGAGTTACAATATTCGTGACAATGATGAATGGTCAATGCGGATCCAACTCCGAGTCGAACAATTTTCTGAAACGGATCAATCTTAATTCGCGGCAATTTAAACATCGGGAACACTGCTGACTAGCGCAAACAATGTTCCCTTGGCGCTTGGCCAAACTGCTTTTATTGTACGTACAAACGGGTGGTAATCGAATACCAAAATGAGCAAACTTTTCTACGTATGCCTGCATTTAATAACTCGAGTCGTCGTAAAACTGTACTGACAAAAATCTTGAACGTTAAACGCAGGATCTCCTTTCAGTTTAATATTCAATAATATATCTATGAAAACAGAATTTAGACCTGCTTGAAATGCCACATGCCTAAATAGTTGGTCAATTGGGATGGTAACTGTGGCCGTATGATTTATTGCCACGGTATCGATAGGTCACCGTTCCTACCGTTTAGTAGGACATAGCATCGCTTCATTACGAATGGTATCAAGGGCAGATTGTACGCGTTACATTAAGTGGGTGCACGTTAATGGCTCCATAAGTTGCTTTATGCGGTGAAACAGCCGCCAAATGCTGCCATGGATTTATGCTTGTTTTTATGGCCCCGAACCAAACGGTTACACATGTGTCCTACCGTTGCACGAATGCTTTCCGCAAACATTAATAAGAAATAAATTTTTAATTATTTTAGAATGCATAATACAATAAAATTACCATTCTTTCTTACCTACAATTTAACAAAACTAGGTCGCAAACGTTCGTGTACTTTTATTCACTGCATGAAGCTCGTTCAGTATTTAACAAATGAGAAATTAGAGCAGATTTTCTTAGGATAATACAGCGGCGACATTATTTATCGCAATATACACACCGTGCGACGCCACGGCACGTGCTGCGTGATGTTCTTTCCGATCGTCAACGAAGAGGTCAACGGTTTAACTTCGTTCGCACAATTGGTCGGATTAACGTCGTAATAAATCTCAATTAGGGCGGCTCCTACGCTCTCGCCTTACGAAAGGGGCAAGAGATTTTTGTGGATTTTTATCTTATTCATTTCACCCCTCCGTTACGTTGCCGTTGAAAAACCGACTAATCTCCGTGTGAATTAACGCAGGTGCCGCGATTGCGGTTCACCGATACATAAAACATTCGATCCAGATTATACCCTCGATTTAATTCGAATCTGCTGCTTTATGTATTCTAATTGACGCCGTACACAAACCGTTTCTATTGTCATTTTACGCTTTAATTAATTGTTAACATATACAATAGAATTGACACAAATGTAAAAATGTAATATTCGATGACAATGAAAATGTTGATCAAATACGAAAATCTCATTCGTTTATAATTCAATAAGTAAAAGGTAGTTATGTCGTTGTTCTAAATATTGTCAGTAGTTTATTGTAAAGACAAGAGAGAAGAATTGTACAATTTCTACGTACTATAGAAGCAGCCCAATTGCCCAAATTCGTTCTTTATCTTCTCTTATCAACCGGGATGGGTGTATCAATGACTGGCGTTGTTCAAAGAAAATTTAATCAATGACCGACTGTCCTCGTTACACAAAACCGTGCGGTGTGCCAACCGGACAGAAAAATGTAAAGGGTCCACAAATTGAAAAGGGGCTCATTGTAATCGTTTATGCCGTTCGATTGTGGTATACGTTCGGGCAAGGCAACCCTAAATCTGTTTAAACGATGCGTATATGAACGTCCCAGTCCCGGGTCACGTGCATCGGTGCTGTGCATGCAATTAAGATGATATGTACATGGATGCACGCGCTTTAATACTAATTATCGATGGTATAATGGTACAGGGAGCGTGTACAGTCAACGTGAGTCGAATACTTAAATTACTCAAGTATGTATGCAGGAGCGTCACTCTTTGTTGGATAATAATAGATTGACTTCTGACTACTGGGAATGCGGAAAAACTTGCAAAAATACTTCGCAGTTACCTATAATTTATCTCAGCACTGAAAATGCATGTACTTATTGCACTTACATTGCAGAAGTTATTTACTGATCGCGGTTCCATAAACGTTTACCAATTCCGTCGATGTTGTTTAAAACATTCGGTAGCGAAGTTATTGATGCATGTGTTATCGTGATACATACTTAATAGCCTATTCTAGTCACCATGCCTTCTCGTATTTCATGTAAACTTATTTAGTTATACTGTAATACGTTGTCGTTTATGATTGCTGTGCACAGATTTAATTTCTCGTAAGTATCTCTTTACGGCCTGACATATCCCGAGACTACTGTGTTTCCGTTTATCAAAGTACCAAATAACAATTCTGTTGCAATGCTTTAAAGAACTTATCATAGGGTCAGAACTAGTTGAACGCGATAACTCGAACTTAAGAAGCAGGGAAAACTAACTGTTTACCGAATTAAGAATTGAAAAGCTATACGTAGAAATATAGCTATAGGAGATTCTATGTGGGTTTCGTATTCGAGGAAGATAAGCTGTTTTTGCGTTCCTAGATCGATGGTTGATGTAATGTAGCTAAGTAAAGGACATACACGTGTATTCTTGCGCAAAGACAAATTGGCGAACAAATCCGGTAAAATAATCTCCGCTTAAACCACGTGCTAAACGATTGTTCAAGTGCAATGAAAGAAAAAAGGCGGATTACAGAAATCTGTTTCTCTCTCGGTTTTTAAAGGGTTTCGTAAGGACTCAGTGCTAATTCCATTTGCAAAACGTATACATTTAACTTATGTTTTTTCTTGCCCGTTCTGCTTTCTTTTCCACTGGAACGATTTTGTAAAAATACACAGTTTCTATTCAGTGCCATGAATATGTATTAAAAATGCAAATGCAATTAGGGTATCCTAAATTCTTCTATCAAAGAAATTTAAAAACGTCATCAACCTCGCGATTGTAATTACCAGTTTCACTACTTACGAGGCTATCGAACGATCTACATACTCCGCTCTGAAAACGTTCGCCTCGCAAATTCACCACCGACTAACGACTTCCGGGTTTCGCAGTGCATACGATCCCGTCGGAGATCCCCGATACAAGAGCGAAATTATGCGACGTCACCCCGCAGGGGTGGAACGGGAAACAATGATTTTAAATTATTATTATTACGGCTCCGGGAGGGAGAAAGGAGAATAGGGTGGTTGTGTGTAATATGGCATCGTATCACATTCGGTGGATCAACAGGAAGAGAGGATTTCTCATGTTTCTCAGGTCGTTGCGGTCGCCACAATAAGGCTGTTTCAAAACTGCAGATCAACATTCATCTATTTTATATTTATATACTGCATATACACCATATTAACAAATACATTATATAAATATCGATAAAAACTAAATATTTGGGATTTGCATTTTTATCTTTCACACATAAGTTTTTAATAAATCGATTATAGATGATGCATTTATAAAAAACTGAATGTGTATGAAATATACAGCAATCTACAAAAGTATATGGAATATCAAAAATTAAATATTGAAAGGAATTCTTACTTTTTAAATTGATGCCATAAACGTTTCCATAAAAACCTGCAGTCTATTAGTCCATAGAATTGCTAATAATTTCATTTGTGTTAAAACTTTATACGCGTATCGTTCGAAAGGTCGTAGCCACGTTCGTAGTAACCTGTACCTTATAAAAGGTGATCGGTTCGGTGGTATGGGTGGAGCATAATGCCAGGGAAGGTATCTATCTATCACTAGCGTCAGCTTAAACCGTGACACAATGGAGGACAAGGGCCTTTACCTGGTCCTCAAAGTAGCGGCTCTCCCTTCGCATTGGCCTCAGTTCCACTCTACCATTTTCTATAGAGTACAGCATACTCTCTATTCACTTCACCAGGTAGTGTCTGCCCCTTTTCACCGCTAGGCATCGGTCAGCGATGGCTACGAAACGCGTTATAAAATGATTTCGACACGCGAGTTCCAAAACGATTTTGACTCATACGTCTGACACACGATTCTTGCTCAAGCCTTACGCAATTCTATCAAAGATAAATTGGTGTAAGCTACCGTTGAATACGAAAGAAGGAAATAGGAAATTCAGTATACTATTCGTTACTACGTCAAAGTTGTTCGTAGAATAGAGTTTCCAGTTTCAAACTTCTCGAAGGACGGGCGTAGTATCGATATTCTTGAAGATTTTTCTTATACCTGCAAGCCACTCTGCGAAATTCCAAGAAATCCTGACCAACCTTAAGAATTTACGAACAAGCATAATAGCTGCTTTGGCTCAGGCATTGTATTGTTAGACTTTCTCAACAGCGTGGGTAAACTTTGCTTCAGAAAACAGACTTTAGAGTTTGGCGATTCCATTCTTTTGACGAAGTAGTACATGAATTATTGCACGATGCTTCTGATGGAAGTATATTCAGGTAATTGTAAGAACAAGATCTATCAATTTCTATTTTCCAATTGAAGCGGACTACGTAAGCAGATAGACAGAGGAGCGTTTTATAATAGTTAAATTGCCGTTATCTGTCTACTAAGGCTGTTCGTTGCTCGACAATTGCACCCTTTTGGCCTCGCTTCTTTCATTGCGCTAACCGCTTCCCATCGTAGCCGCATCGAACAGTTTCGTTTCAGGTCTTGAAGATCGACGGAACACGCTCGTTCCGTGGCTCTCGTCCAACCGTACGCGAACAATCTTTATACTC